TGCCATGTGCGTCACACCCTAGTCACAGCAACCCAAACTCAACTGGCATTTCAAGCGACCCTGCCTCAGAATACCTGACCGGAGTAGCTGGACTATAGGCATGATGCACCACTGCCTGGACTAATTGTTTGTATCTATATATATTAGGTTGGCAATGTAATTTCTTCTATTTAAGATAGAAGATGGGTCCCAGCTCTTGGCGCAGGCTGGTTATCAGAAAAACATACTGGACCATGCTGAGCAATCCGCCATTGCCTCGGTAATCCTGCCCAGAGTGACTAGAAAATTTACAGGCAATGAAGCCGAGACCATTCTACTTAGTGAAGTATTGCAAGAATGGAAAAACATACACCACATGTACTAAATACTAAATTGGGACTAATTGATCAACACTATGTGCACATATGGAAGTAAAACTTCGATATGAGGGAAATCAAGTAGATGGGAAGGGGGAGGAAGGGATGGGTACATTCACACCTAACAGGTACGATGCACACTAACTGGGTGAAGAGTACACTTATAACTTTGACTGAAACTGTACAAAGGGAAATTATGTAAACAAAGTACGTGTGCCCCCATAAAATTCTGAAATAAAAAGAAAAAATTAATTAGGAATGGGATAGTCACGTAGCTTCAAAATCACCTCCCCCAGTCCTTATTAATAATAACAATGGGATAAAAGAGTAACTTTACAGTGGAGAAGCCAAAAAGACATGGCTTTAATCAAGAGATCAAAATAAATATCATCAGTAATGAAAAAAATATAAATCCTATACCACTTGATAAAATGCAATGAAAAGAACACAGCATCAATTCTGTGATATATCTGCCAAAGAGGTATAATTTGAATCTAGTCATGAAGAAGCGTAAGACAAACCCAAGTTGAGAAACATATTTGAAAAGAGCTATAGTCTTCAAAAATGCTAAGGTCATGAAAGCAAAAGAAAGCCCATGACCTTTTTCAAATAGAAGGAACTAGAGGGATGTGACAACTAAATGCAATATGTACTTTTGAACGAGATCCTTTGGTTTAATGAACACTATTTGAACCATTGGAGAAACTTGAATGTGATTTAAAGATTAAATGGTAGTGATGTATCAATGTTAATTTCTGGATTATTGTGTTTATATTGTGGTTATGTAAGAGAATGCTCTTGTCTGGGAAATACACATTAAGTACTCTAGGATGGTGGGCATCAAATCAACAGCTTTCAAATGGTTCTGGAAAAATATTAATTCTCTTCATATTGTACTTGGAACTTTTCTGCAAATTTTGAATTCCCAGCACTTTTAAATCAGATTGTATTTATTTTTAATAACTACTTAGATACGGGCAAGGTTGAGAGGAAATCTAATAATAGCTCAATGAGAACTGTAGTTAATAGGAGATATAGGAGAATTAATTCACACAGTTACAGGTTAAATAGTTGTTCTCTCCACAACTTTGCACTTCTAGCCATGCTCTTTCATCTCTTCCTTTGTAGACATTGCAAGTGATGCTGTCCCAGAACTGGCTTATACCAGCACACGAGAGCTAATTGCTAAATTTTCAGAAATTTTGTGAGGCACTTTTAAATACAGCCATAGTTAAAAATTAAGTTATATGAATCAATTATATAGTTTTAAAAGATAAAGCTTAAAATTCACCATATCCAATTGTTTAGTACATGTCTATACTCTTGAGGTTATTTTTGTCTGTTTCATCCATGTGGTGCAAATGCTCTATAATGATGTGCTGCTTCTCTCTTTATCTCCTGGTTTCGGTGACTTCGCATGGGGAGCTTGAAATTAGCAATGGTGGGAGTGTTTGTAGAGTGAAATAGGCAAATGCTACAAACCATGCCTTCATTTACTGTGCATTGATTTCTGGACTTGAGAAAGTGATGGAGAAATATTAATAATGCAGGTTAAACTTTAAAGCATGTAGTATCTGTAGCCATTATATTGTGAATGGCACAAAATATTTTTTCAGTGTTTAAAAAAGACTAATATCCAGCTCATCAAAAAAGTCACTTGCTTCACTAATGAACCTGTGAACTTCCAACATATGTCTCCATTATAGCTTATTTTCTTTTACTCATTAACAAAGGAAATCAACCAACATTTGTGTCAGAGCTACACTCAGTCATCATTTTGGTTACAAATATAAGATTTTGGCAAAAAATTTAAAAAAGCATTTTGTGAGAATTAACTATATAGAATTCACAGTAAAGAGTATTGTATATGCACATTTTTAAGAGACTATTTTTAGGAGCAGTTTAGATTCACAACAAAGTTGAGCAGAGAGTATTAATATAAAAAGTTTCCATTGGCTGGGTGCGGTGGCTCACGCCTGTAATCCTAGCACTCTGGGAGTCCGAGGCGAGCGGATCGCTCGAGGTCAGGAGTTTGAAACCAGCCTGAGCAGGAGCGAGACCCCCGTCTCTACTAAAAAAATAGAAAGAAATTAGCTGGACAACTAGAGGCATATACATAAAAAAATTAGCCGGGCATGGTGGCATGTGCCTGTAGTCCCAGCTACTCGGGGACTGAGGCAGCAGGACTTGCCTTCGAGCCCAGGAGTTTGAGGTCTCTGTGAAGCAGGCTGACAGCCATGGGCACTCGCTCTAGCTGGGGCAACAAAGCAAGACTGTCTCAAAACAAAAAAAAAAGTTTCCATTTATCTCCGTCACCCCAGGCATATATAGGTCTGCCCCCATTATCAACACCACCGCCCCCTCCCCGCCACGGCCACAACCTGAGTGGTAACTTTGGTTACACATGGGTGGAACTACATTGATACATCAATCACCCAGATCACAAGTTACATTAAGGTTCCTCTTTGGGTGTCTGACATATGTAGGTTTTGAAAAACGTATAATAACATGTATTCATCATTGTAATGTCATGCAGAATAGTTTCACAGCCTTAAAAATCCTCTGGCTCTACCTATTTATCCCTCACGCTCCCCTCGATCCCTGCGGTAACCACTCATCTTTTCACTGCTCCATAGTTTTTGGCTTTTCTCCAGAATGTTGGACATAGTTAGAATCATACAGTATCGTAGCTTTTTCAGATTAAGCCTTTTCCATTTATTAATTATGCATTTAAGTTTCTTCTCTGTCTTTTTGTAGCTTGATAGCTCATTTTGTTTTAGGCTGAAATAGAAATCCATTGTGCTGGATGTATCACAGTCTATGTGTTCATTCACCTACTGAAGGACATCTGGGTTGCTTCCAAGTTTTCAGTAATTATGAATAAAGTGGTTATAAACACCAGCGTGCAGGTATTAGTGTATATATTTTTTATTATTTGGAAATTGTATGGCATACATTATGTATAGTTCATTAAAATTTATAATAAATTTATGTGCAGTATATATTTATACGTCAGTTTCCTGAGTTTTTTTTTTTTTTGAGACAGCATCTTGCTCTCTTGCCCAGGCTAGGGTGCCATGGTGTCAGCCTAGCTCACAGCAACCTCAAACTCCTGGGCTCAAGCAATCCTCCTGCCTTAGCCTCCCAGGTAGCTGGGACTACAGGCATGCACCACCATGCCCGGCTAATTTTTTCTATACGTTTTTAGTTGTCCAACTAATTTCTTTCTATTTTTAGTAGAGACAGGGTCTCTCTCTCTTTCTCTCTCTTGCTCAGGGTGGTCTCGAACTCCTGACCTTAAGGGATCTACCCGCCTCGGTCTCCCAGAGTGCTAGGATTACAGGCAAGAGCCACCTCGCCTGGCTAGTTTCTCAGTTCTTAAATACTGGCCAGCATGCACTGCTTACAAGCCATGGTAAATACTTTCTACTTTTACTCTGAGTGAAATGGGAAGCTGCTGAAGGATTTTGAGCAGGGGAGTGAATGACACGTTTAAAGGATCACTCCGGTTGCCGCGTTGAGTAGAGACCCTACCGGAATAGAAGCAGGAAGGAGGAGGCAGTCACCTCTAGGTGAGAGAAGTGGCTTGGATGAAATCCTCCAGCATGATCTGAGCTAGATGAGATTTCTAGAACATCTGTTCTGTCTCTCCGTTCCATTTCACTTGGATAACTCGTGCTTGGGGCATGTGAGAGTGATTCATACTATAGCTCCCCTTTTCCTTGCTCTACTTCGGAACAAATGATAATTAAGTCAGGAGTCAGCAATTAGAGAACCAAATATAACCTTTATTACAGATAGAGGCTACGTTGGAGAATATAGTTTAGTGTGAGAGCAAAAATGAGCGCGCTAACTCCTTATCCTCTAATCTAAGCCTTGGGACTGTGGGGGCTGAGGGAAAACTTGCCTTTTCCCCTGAAAGTTCACTGAAAGATCAACTCAAAACTAAGGCAGATTAATAAAACAAAGAGGATTATTTATTTGTGCACGGGGAGAATGATAGAGTGATTATCCAATGGGATCCAGATATTTTTATAGCTGCATGTTGGAGGGGAGGCAGAGATGAGGTGTATAGGTAATTCTGTTTAGGGGTAATAAAATGTTGTTAGGTAGGATGAATAGATACCTGGGAGAATGAATGCCTGAGGAGAAACAGATTGACTTGTAAATTAGCCTGAGAAACAGGTATTATGTTTAAAATGATCTGGGCCAGGCCGGTTGCAGGCTCAACTTTCTTTCCTGCAATATAGTGAGATAAAGGGAAGGGAAAGGAAGTCCATTGTTCTTTTGATGTGTCAGTCCAGTTTATGCACATAGGGGGAAATCTTCTTCCAATGCCTTTTTATTTCAAAGGACCTTTAATTCAAAATATTATTTATACCAAGAGTCATATTTTGGGGTGAAATTTCCTGAGCTTCTTTAGGATCTGGGGGTAAGTTAAGTCTGCAGAGTAGATACTTCTACAGAACGGATAGAACAGAGAAAACCACCTATAATTTTTTCTTTTTTCTTATCTCTTTTTTTTTTCATGAATCTAGAAAACAAGGATTTTATAGTATAGTATTGAAATAATCAAATTGTAGGAGATTTTTCTCTTTACTTTCTTCTTTTTCTCTTTTTTTTATTAGAATTTTCCTTTTTTAGGTGATTTTGCACCCAGAGTTTCTATCTTCCACCAGCCCCTTATTACCTATGGACTATGAAGAGTTTGTACGAGGTTGTCATCTTGGAGTATTTCCATCATACTATGAACCGTGGGGTTATACTCCAGGTACGTGACATGTATTGATTGTGGAACGTTTTGGATTTTTGTCAGTATGTTGTTTTATTTGTATGCATATAATATTCAAAGGTGATATGTAATTTCTACTAAGGTTTTGATTTTTCAGTCTGTTTTAAAAATGATTTGGGTTCGATTTATCTCAGGGGTCGATTTTATGCTTTGTAGATTCTGACCTACGAATGAGGGCGAAGATTATTTAGGTATTCCATAGGAAGAGGAAGGACTTTTCTAGTATCTGCAGTCTTATCCAAGAATTTAAATACATAATTTTGAATTCTACAAAAATGGGATACTATAATCTTTACAATAGGACTGACATGAGGACACTGCATCTTGTATCGTAAGGTCCAATTCTATTGTTCTACATTTCAACAAGAATAATTTGCCAACAGTTGTAAAAGCATTTAATCTTCTTTCTTTCTTTCTTTCTTCTTCTTTCTTTTTTTCTTTTCTTTTCTTTTCTTTCTTTGGTTTCCTTTCTTTCTTGTCTCTCTTCTCTCTTATCTCTCTTTCTCTTTTCTCTCTTTCTCTCTTCTCTCCTATCGTCTCTCTCTCTCTTCTTCTACTTCTCTAGCGTCTCTTCTCTTCTCTCTTTCTATCTTTCTTTCCTTCTTTTTTGAAACAGAGTCACGTCTTTTTGCTGGGCTAGAAGTGCTGTGGCATAAGCTGAGCTCACAGCCACCCAACATCCTGCGGCTCGAGCGATCCCTCTCGTCTTTCCAGTCCTCCTGGTAGCTGGGACTCACAGGCATGTGACCCATGCCAAGCTAATAATATATATATATATCTATATACTATATATATATAGATATATATATATATATTGTGTGTGTGTGTGTGTGTCCAGCTAATTTCTTTCTATTTTGTTAGTAGAGACGGGGTCTTGATCTTGCCCAGGCTGGTCTCGAACTCCTGAGCTCAAACGATCTGCCTGTCAGGACCTTCCAGAGTGCTAGGATTCAGGGTGTAGCCGACCCACCCAACAACCTAAATTTCTTGAGAGAAATAGGCAAAGGATTGTTACTTCTTGAAACACATCATAGAAAATGTATTTATCTAACTCCTCAGGCTATCTCCCTTGCGGTTCTAAAAATTGACATTGGCATCAGTTTCACTTTTGCAAAGGTGGTATCTTCTTACTTAAGAAATGTCTGCATAAATATCTTAAATTGTTTGTAGTAGAGTATCTCTCTTTCGGGACACATATAACACATATGTCACTGATGAACCTGACACTTTGTTATCGACTTTGTTGTTTGAGCGGGAAACCACAGTACCACAGAACAAAGAGACAGAGTCACTGAAGCTGATATCATCAAAAGGAGTTTTATTGACTAGCTCGAGCTAGTCCGAGTCTCAGAGTGCCAACACAGTGGCCTCTATTCTGACAAGGACCCCCCCACCCCTTGGGTTACAGGTATCCCTTAAGTAGTTTTCTCCCTCCCCCCTCCCAAAGTCTTCTTCAGCAGTTTATTCCATCTCTTTTCTGGTTGGCTCTGGTTGGTTCCTCTTACCATCTGATTGGTTCTGGCGTTAGGGCTTTTCTTCTGCATTTTATTTCAGCATTTTACTGCAGAGTCATACGATGTTTGGCCCCCCCTCCCCTTGTCCTGGGGCTTTTCAACCTCTTATCAGGAAACGGCCCTCGGTTACCGCCTTTTGAGGTCCAGCACTCCCTGAAGCCTGTCATGGCTTCACTTAAGCTATATATTGTAAGCTGGCAAGCTGGGGGGGACAGAAGCTAAAATAAGCTGTTAGCTTTGAGCTTTTCTTATAATTTCCATTTCTTACATTGTTCCTGTTATTTCTAGTAAGCAATGCAGTGTACTATTTGAAGTGTCATGGATAGAGGAGCACAAAATCAAATGTATGAGTGACTGGGGCAATGTGGGAAATCATTTCTGTCAGGAAAAGAGAATGTGATAGAACCAGCAGCCAGCTTTCCTCTCAAATGGCATTTTATAGGGTAAAGTTAAACTTAACCACCCAAAATGATAGGGGAGATATCTCTAATGTTTTAAGGTGAGGGCCAAAAAAGATGTTATTATAAAAGATAAGTGTTAATCGACAAAGAAAGGAGTTTGTTATATACTCCCCAGTGAATAAGTCATCCTGTGTTTTACATTAACCAAAGTGAGTTGGTCACTATTCACCTAAACTACTGTTACAGAAATAATGAGACTTCTGGTGGTATAAATTTGGAATTAACATATTAGATTTTTTAGAATAATCTTTTTATGTGATACCAGGTCTAACTCACTCCAGGAAGTATTCATTAAAGTCTGTTTTGTGTTTTGAGAAAGCTTAATGAATATAAGTACTTATTTAATTAAATTCATCCAATGAACAGATACTAAGCTTACATGGGTACCTGGAATTTTACTACATAGTGTATTAACAGATATTTAATAAAAAATGAGGATCTGTGAATTTTCATGGAGTTGTAGGTAATAGTTTGTACACATATGTGTATGAGTATTTGTCTAGAGAGAATTTTTCTAGAATTTTTTAGAATTTTCATCAGCCTCTCAAAAGGGCTGATAACTCCTGTCCCACCTTTCTTCCCTCCACCACCCCTAAAAAATTAGAGAACCATTGCTCTCTAGCTGAAGAGCTAAAATAAGATGAAATATTTGCAGGGCAAGAGATAAATGTATTTGTAAATACAATTTGTATTATTTTAAATTGTATTACTTCATGAGTAATGGGAAGATTTCCTTTTTTCATCCACCTCATCCGCCGCCTCGCCTCCAGATGCTAGGATTACAGGGCTGGCCCAGCCCGGCCCTGGAAAACAAGTTTTGACTAAAAACTAAGGGAGGACTGAGAGAGATCATGGGTTCATTAAGCTCCCGAGAAAAGTAAAGGAATATGTG